TTACACTGCCAGTTTAGTTTGGTAACTGTTTTCATTTGATAATCAGAAACATAAATACAATTTTCTTTTGCTGTAATGTATAATGGGCTTTCAAATTTATTTTCATCTTGGATGGTCTGTAATACAGTGCCTTCCATTTGAAGGATTTGGACTTTAGCAGGAGAGCAAAATGACACCACCATTTTATCTTTATGACAGCTAATACCATAACATTTCCCATCAACCTTCAGGATGTGCTCTTTTTTAAGGTTATTTCCAGAGACAGATAGAAACTGAATAGCTCGTTCGTGAGGAAAAGTGACAGCAAGCTCATTTTTTAAAACTGATGTGACATCCGAAGGATCATTATCAAAGCATTGCTGATCTAGTACAGACCTTCTTCTGACATCAACCATTTTTATGGCCTTACTATACCTATCAGTAAGGATTAGAAGACCAGACGAAATGAGAGTCATTCCTGTTATTGTGCATGGTTTGTTATCTTGTGATGTTTTAATACAAATTTTATCCGCGTGTAAGCATTGTCTGGATTTCAGACGAGGGTTAAGTGTTCTATCTTTCAATGTGCCAATTGACTTTTCTTTATCAAGTAGATTTAATATGGCCTCATTAGGTTCAAACTTGTACTTTTTGACATCAAAATCTGAATCTGAAAGCTTAGCAACATTCTGCTCATAATCTTCTTTAATCTGTTCTGCTTGTTTTAGTTCCATGAACAAATCATTTGCTTGTTTGGTCTTGTTGAAATTTTCAATTGCAACAGCTGATGACTTCAGAGATTTTGATAAATCTCTACATATTTGTCTTACTCTTTTATAATTCTTATGATTGTTTTCCTGAATGATTTTTATTGTCTTTACAAAATGTCTTTCTAATTCATTTAGTCTTTTGTTGATTTTTGCTCGGAATTTATTGATGTCTATCAATACATCTGTCAAAGATTTGTTTAATTCTTCATTCATCATCTTCATGTCTTGACGGGTTTTGCTACATCTCTCAGTCATGTCATTGATATCCTTCAAAGTATCTTGACAATTTGTGCTATTGGTGATCTGACCTGAAATATCAGGTATATAACTGACTTTGCAAGATGTTACGGTGTGCTCAAGTGTAACACAAACACTACAGAGTAGCTTGTTGTGATTTTGACAGTAATACTTGATCATCTCAAAGTTGTGACTAGGACACGGTCTTGTAAAGATATCTTTCTGTCTTGGAGTTGCATGCGACAGGGTCTGAGGCATGTTGGTTTTGTCTAAAAGAGTATGGTGTCTAGACAATTTGTGTCTTTTGTGATGTGTAAAACATGTTTCACACAAATGCTCTGAGCAGTTTGTACAAAAGCCATGAGCAGGAAGTCTGTCTCCGTCCTCATCACATGGCTGACAATAGACTTTAAGATCTTCATTAGAAGTTGTTGATGATGGAAATTGTCCTGTGGCTTTTTTACCTTGGACAGCCATGGCGTCCCTGGAGTATATATAAGATCAACGATCTGATGACACATAAAAACTAACCATGCAAGAATGATGTGAGATACATAATTGAAATAAAGAAAGAACTATAAGATTGGTTTAAATTTACATATACTCGTATATCTTTTACAATGAATGTATGGATTAATTGCCTACAATATAACAAGCACATGTAATTACAAAACAATAATGGCAGGTTGTGAGAATAGCATAGCTGACAGAATGTTTATTTTCTTCAATTTATGATTAGTTAGAGACATAGCCTAAAATCTTATAAGAAAGGTCCTTTTCCATTTGAAAGGTATAATATATAGCTATATCGAATGAATTTATAAAAGGTAAAATTATATTCTTTTCATAAAAATGTTCCCTTTTTTAACCACACATGACAATTGTACGTTAACAGAACTAAATATTATGCTGCTGTTTAAAGTAGGGATTCTTTTTTTCTCTATTTTAATTGTTTAGCAATTAGTCTGTACATAACCCAGTGGCTATTAAGGAAATATAAAAACATATTTTCTTTGTATTAAAACAAGTTTTTCAGAAATATTATTTTTAATTCAAATTTTTATTTTGTACACGAAAGGCAGCAGGCATTAAGCTTTATCAACTTTAACAGTATTTTTCTTTTCTATTATGATGTTTCTATGTCTTAACTTGACCTTCATGTAAATAGAAAATAAAATAGATGTACTCCACCTAGTAGAGTTAAAAAGGTATAAAAAATCAAAGCATCATACCTTCTTTATTTCCAAAGTAATTTATCGAAACAGTTTTTATTTTATTTTATCATTATTAAATATTTAATATAATCGACAGTTTTGACAAATTCTTATTGTTAAAAAATATCTTTCAATGTATAGCCTGTTTTTACAACTCAATTCAACTTAAATCATTTATTTGTACAGCACGATCTCTGTCCCAAAATATATAGTAAGGTATAACACATAATAAAATGTTAATTAGTTATACATTGCGATCGTTTAAGTGTCATTAATTACATTCATATGTTTACAGATATAAATTGATCCATATTTAAAGAATTGACAAATAATCTAAACAGATAGTAATTCGATGAGGGTAGGTAGAGGCCTTCTTGTTTTCCGATTGATTGAACTTTTTGAAATTCTGCCAAAAGCCAGTTCAACAAAGACATAAAAACATTTAGAACAGCACATTTAAATTGGATTTATAGGGTGGCATAAAGGGAACATCAGAAATTAATTATCTACCACGTGCGCACGCGATAGCTTAACTAGTGTACTTAATAGCTACCACGTTTGTACGCGATACATACTACGTGCGCACGTACAAGCTATAACGAGCGCACACGATAGCTATTACGTGCGCATGTAATGATTGACCAACGTAGGGGCTATCGCGTGCGTTCGAAGTAGCTTTCGAATGCGCACGTGTTAGATAAAATATTTCTGATGTCCCCTTTCTGCCGCCGTAGATTTAACAGTTGTTATCAATATCTATATTTTCACTGGCTTCTGCAATGAAAGAAATCGATATAATATAATATGATATGATATAATATGATATAATATAATATAATATAATATAATATAAACTGCATGAGGGGCATGGGGTATACTGGAATCAGAATGTGTCCTTTGCCATTTTATCCACAAGCTTAATCTTGTGAATGCTACCCTTTCTACAATACAATATGGAGATCATTGGAGCTTGGCATAAAACAAACCAACTTTTAATGCAGAAGTTATTCTTTTAGGAATGATGTTCTTCAAATTTGAGTCTGGGCCAATAAAACCCGATCCACACCCCCTCCCCCACAAAAAAAAACACTAACAACAACAACAAACAAACAACACTCCCAAAAACAACTACCAAACAAAAAAAGAACTTTAAGTCGACTTCATATAATGTAACGATGTTAATCTTTCCGTCAAAGACATAATGCCAGTTTTCAATCTGTTCTGACTGTTCTGATTATGCTATCATTTTTAGATGTTACGATCTTGACCAAACGCATCCGCCTAATAATATATATTGTTTTTTTAGTTCTTTCTTCAATTTGGATGTGAATAGTATTACCATTTAACTTCATATATCACAACTAAAATAACTACATGTATAGGTATCAATAATGGTGAATCAAATCCCTATCAGCCATAAAAATTGTCTGATGCCAAATTTGAATTAAACCCGTTTATGATCATGTAACATTTATGTAAAAAATATTACAGTTCATTGTCTTATTTTATAAAGAGTAATCACTTGAAATTGGAAGAGTTCTTTTAATAAAAAAGGACAAGAAGGAACCATGCAAGGTCTATACATAAGCTTGCTTTACACCAAGTCTGATTACAAAATCCCACTCCTAGCTTTAGATATCGTCAGGAAGCATTTTTCTATTTTTAAGTAAAAGTGACCTTGACATTGACCTTAGATGGTCCAACAGCAACCGAAAGCGATGTTCCTATATAAGCTTGCTATATACCAAGTTTAATCATAGTATCTTATTCCTAACTAGTTATCTTCTAGAAACGATTTTTCTACTTTTTGTGACATTGACCTTGACCTTAGGGGTTTTGAAAGCAATTCCAAAGAAGGTCTCTACTTAAGCTTGCTATATAACAAGTTTTATTATAATATCTCGATCCTAACTCTGGACATCAGCTGGAAACAATTTGTCTATTTTTAATAAAAGTGACCTTAACCTTGATCCTAGTGTGTCTGAAAGCGATCCCAAGTGAGGTATTCACATTTGCTTGCTATATACCAAGTTCAATAACAATATATCATTCTTAACTCTAGTTATTGTCCGGAGACGATATTTCTTTTCTTATAAATAGTGACCATAAGTCTACAGAGGGTTCAAATAAAAGCGCAACCGGGGTTTACCAAAATCTTGCTATCAATTTTAAGTTTCACAGATGGACACAACTTATTGAAGGAAAGAGCTTAGATTCATAACTCTTTTTTGTATTAACCATATACAGTTAGAATTATCTTATTATAGAAGTCTATTTGCGTATATTGTAATTACAAAAAACATGGTATTTGACATTGACCTTTTAGTAATATAGATTTTGTTGACTGATATTTTCAAACAAAAGTGAGTTGCATTTTCCGCCAGGTTAAAGAAAAGGCCAGCCTCCACACCTGTGTAGTCTGATCAGACTCGTGTTTGCAGCCTAATTTGTTTTTGTATTTTGTTATTGAAATCCTTTAATTTTCAAAAAGTCTGATCCACATTCAAACCAGGTTCATTACATTAATAAATCCAGTAGGTTAAGAGTTAAACATTTACAACAACTATATCAAATATTGTTGACATTATAAAATCACGACGAATGTTTAATTGTTCATTTATAGTGTAGCGTTTCTTCACCTGTTGAAACCGAATGTGATTGGCATATGACATCACTATAGAGCCAGGCCAGCCTGGATTTCCACAAGTCTGAACAACCTTTTAACTGTTTGTAGCTCAATGCTTGTAATTTATATTAAGATCCTTTAATTTTCAAATAGACTGACCCACATTCAAAGCAATATCATTCCGTTATATAAATTCAGTAGGTCTATAGTTAAACATGTACATTGTATTAACATGGCTACCATTTGTTTAAACAAAACAACAACAACATGATTAAAATAATAATGTGACTAATTAACATCCTTGCCTTTTTCTATGACAGCGATTATATCTAATATTGTTATTAGTTTACTACATCACGACATATTATATTTTCAATTGTTCATTTCTGGTGTATAGTGTATTTGAAAGGTATATCTAGACCTCCAAGTACATCATTATAGAATTTATCAAATCTTTCATTCTGTGACACAGTAAAATGTGTCTTCCAATCACCAACCGTTCCTGAAATAGAAAAAATCATTTGGTTAGGAACTAATAGTTAGTACTATAACTTTCATTTTTTATCCCTTTCCTAATGTCCATCATAAATGATAAAAACTACGCGAAGTGTCCCCATACTGTGAGTACAATTCCCACAATATGTCCCCACAGTGTCAGATACATCCGCGGCCCCACATCCCTGATGTTCTGGCGCTAAATAAACCGTTCAATTTTCCCATCAAGTTGAAAGTTAAAATTCGTCTCGTTGAACGGCTATACCGGACATCCACGTGGATTACATACTCGTATATGTATACGATTTTATTGAAGTTTTTAATAGAATTTAGTCTCTTTGTATAAGCGGATAATGCATACAGAGGCACGTGATGTTTTCATCAACAGTATACTAGTATCTTTAAAATGCCATACTACCTTGACAGTTCGGTGACTCTAACCCCAAACAAATAGGTTTCCGTTATAGTTACTCGGTGACATAATATATTTTCACAATTCTGCCTTATTTTAAGGAAAGGATCCAGGAAATTAAAACCAGACAATTAAGCAGTATCTTGGGAAATCTTTTTAAGAATTTTATTTGGTCATTGTGACAGTTAAATTCTATTTTGCTAATCATGATTTTCCTGTTGTGGTATGACAGCTATATGTTTAGAAAATATTATTTAATGCGATACAATACAAAATTATCCAGTACAATTAGATACTATACAATTCAATATAAGAAAATCAATATACAAATGTAATAAAAATCAAAAGTTATATAACCATTACAATACCGAGGACACTATGCATACACTATTCATAAATCTCGGTGCACGAAGGTTCGATCCCCCGCTTCACCATTAACAATTTAAATATTTCTAGATGATACCTTTAAAACCGAGATCCTATGTATCGTTATTTCACAATAGGAAAGTAAATTACAGATATATTCATGCACTCTGAAAAAAAAAAAACAATTAACAGTGTTCACAGACACAGATATGTTCAACTGAAATGCGATAGTGAATAAACCGAGTTTCAGAGTTATTATTCTAATGGTGAATAATGACCCAAAATTAAAAAGCGTTGCAACGCATTTCACTTTAATCGGTCTAAGAATAGCATAAAAGAACGATTTTCTATTTTTTCTGAGTCTATATCTTATGTATCTATTGTATATCTTCCTGTTTAACTGCCGCAGTTGGTCTATTAAAGAATTTTAGAATTTATGGTTTTAGGCTTTTGGACCTCAGTAGAGTTCCTTTAAACTTTTCACAATGAAATTCGATGAATTGATTTTGGACGGTTTAAATTTCAAAGCGAAGTCTGTCATACATAACGGTATGTGCTGGACACGCGATATGTGTAAATGTACTGTAAAATTACAGTTTCTACGTATATACGAACAAGTACCTTTTCTAAGAAGTGGTGAGACTTTTGCGTTGATAGAGTACACATCTAGATGGTTGGTCATTGGATTTCTTTTCATACTCTCAAACTGACAGTGCTCCACAATTCTTGTTAACAAATCACCGGATAGATCTTTATCCAGAAATTTACATATTTCTGCAACCTCTCTGTGCAGGTCTTCTTTTATTTCTTCGTAAAATATGATTTTAATGTTTGACCGATCTCGTAATTCCCACCAACTCTTAGTGTAGTCAAACCAGGAGCCGTGGTCAACTAAAGATTAAGAAGTAGATGTTTTTGATTTAGAGATAAAAACGGTATACAAAAAAGATGCAGAACTGTATAATAATAGTTAAAATATGAACAGGATCGTGTAAAAGGAAAATAAAGCTATTGCTAAAGCATTTGAATTGTGTTACGAAGTTACATGACCAATATTCAACTTTACGCATTCCTGGAGACTGGATATATGGAATTCAGTAGCTAATAGTCATGCTGTACAACTTCATTATAAACTTAAATTATAACAGTAAAACTTTTGAATGATTTATTGAGATTGTTTGCAAGTCACAACAGTTCAATCCGTCAATATTTAGCCCGATCATATCAATTTAGTTACAGCATTTAGTGTATGATTCTTTTTCAGGAGTCTGAAAGCAAATGCAATGAATGGAAAGCAAAGCCCTGACAACATATTTAGATCTTACCATGACCCTCCATAAACATGTCAAAGAAATCTTCCCAAGTTCCTGTAAACTTGCCAAACGATGAACTAGACCGGTAGAAATGGTAGTAAGAAACGCACAAGTCTTTTGGGTTTCGGAATAAAACTATTATCTGTGAATTAATTTAACATATCATATGTAACTACTGTAATATACAAATGTAGTGTATTTTTAAAAATCTTAAATTTGTAGAAATGTAGCTTTAAACGCCTTTCATAACAAAAACAATAGTAATGGAATTAAGACACTTGATTAAGTGACATATATACAACGAAAGAGCGTATTTTGTTTTTTATCTAGATTAACAAATGGTTAATATAACATCTATTGTATTAATGGGAGCACTTCATGTTTTTTTCCATTAACCAGCCTAAGATATACATGACTGTGTATCAACAAAAGTTATGGTAACACACTGGTACACTAACATAATCTTTTTTGGCTGGGTTTTGCGTCGCACCAACACAGTATAGGTCATATGGCAGCTTTCCACTATTGAAGGTGGAGGAAGACCTCAGGGGACCTTTCTATGCATAATTTCAGGCACGAACGGGCACCTGAGTAGAACCACCGACGTTTCGTAAGCTAGTTGGATAGTTTCCTCACATGAAAGAATCTAAAGTCTCTTTCGTGATTCGAACCCACAGCGGTGATGAGCAAGTGCTTTGATATAAATTTTACCGCACAATTTCCGCCCCCTTCATTTATTCCAATTGTTTCTTACCTTACAGTCTTTTTCCTGAATTTGTTTTGGCATTAGTTTAACTGGTAAATGGCTCTTGATCACCCTTGGTGACGTCATTGGATTAGCAATGTCAAGGCCAACCTCGTTTAAAACTTTGTCCTTGAACTCTAAAAATGGTGACCGGAAGTAGACAGGTTTTCGGTAAGCGCCATCAAAATCCCCATCATGCATTATCAGCCATGCTATTTCCTGTAACCACGTTGTTCCTGGAGAATACATGTCAAATGTAAGAAGTCTCTTTCTCAACAGATTGAAATAACTTTGTTTCTAGCTAGACTGTAGTCTACTAAATTGTATTGTTGAAGAATAATTTATTGAGAACATTTAACTTTAATTTACGGATAAATTTAGATTTTTTTAGCTCGACTATTCGCAGAATAATCGAGCTAATGCAGTCACCCATTTGTCGGCGTCGGCGTCCCTGTGGTTAAGTTTTTGTATGTAAGCTGGTATCTCCATAACTACTGAAGGGAATGGATTGAAACTTCACACACTTGTTCTCTGTGATTATCTAAGATGATTGGCACACGTCCCATAACTCTGATTTGCTTTTTTACATAATTATGCCCATTTTTCGACTTAGAAATTCTTGGTTAAGTTTTTGCGTGTAAGCTGGTATCTCCATAACTACTGAAGGGAATGGATTGAAACTTCCCACGCTTGTTCTTTGTGATTATCTAAGATGATTGGCACAAGTCCCATAACTCTGATTTGCTTTTTTACATAATTATGCCCCTTTTTTGACTTAGAAATTCTTGGTTAAGTTTTTGCATGTAAGCTGGTATCTCCATAACTACTGAACAGAATGGATTGAAACTTCACACACTTGTTCTCTGTGATTATCTTAGATGATTGGCACAAGTCCCATAACTCTGATTTGCTTTTTTACATAATTATGCCCCTTTTTCAACTTAGAAATTCTTGGTTAAGTTTTTGCGTGTAAGCTGGTATCTCCATAACTACTGAACAGAATGGATTGAAACTTCACACACTTGGTCTCTGTGATTATCTAAGATGATTGGCACAAGTCCCATAACTCTGATTTGCTTTTTTGCATAATTATGCCCCTTTTTTGACTTAGAAATTCTTGCTTAAGTTTTTGCGTGTAAGCTGGTATCTCCATAACTACTGAAGGGAATGGATTGAAACTTCACACTCTTTTTGTCTGTGATTATCTAAGATGATTGGCACAAGTCCCATAACTCTGATTTACTTTTTCGCATAATTATGCCCCTTTTTCGATTAATAAATTCTTGGTTAAGTTTTTGTGTGTAATCTTGTATCTCCATAACTACTGAAGGGAATGTATTGAAACTTGAAGGGTTTGTACCTTTTCGGACAATTTTATGTATTCATATAGGTAAGCATTATTATACTCAATTAAACACCCTTGTGACAAATTTTCGAATAGTCGAGCGTTACTGTCCTCCGACAGTTCTTGTTGATATATTTAGTTGCTTTTTTTCAAGAGGAATTTTAGATGTATTGTTTTACAATTTCTAATAATGAAGTTGCAGGCAAATGTAGACAGATTTAAAATCTATAATAACCCATAATCAGGTCGCTTTGTTACATGCTTTGATAAGCTTTGATAATTCCATCAATGACTTATATCTGGGGTGTCCCATTATTATTTTTTTATAAACAACAGAGCAAATGCTCATGTTAACATTTGACATCGATACATTTAACTGTTTTTATTGGGATTTTATTGAAACAACAACTACTGAAAGCTTCAAGGAGCTTAGACAAGTAAAACCCATTAGACTCGTTGCAGTCACATTGATTTCTCGTAATGTTCCTGTATTTTGATACATGTTAATGGAACATTGATGGAAATTTATTGAAATGAAGGCACCTTTGGTATAAATACAAACTATTCTAAAACAAGGTCCTGCAAATGTTAAAGAATGTGTGTTAAGGCCGAATAAGATAATTGTTACAATGAGACGAATTTAACTATTAAAGAAATTTTAAAAAAAATGCCAATGAGTGACAAGAATTAAGCGGTTTCTAACCGTAGGATAAACAAAGTTCGGTCAGAAATTGAAATTTGCGTTTTTTTCTTAATGCGAAATTGACTTACATATTTATTACAATAAAATAGAAACTAGGATTTGCTTTTTGGACCTGAAATAGGTTTCATACACATGTTTGGGCTCGACAAATTTCACTGCATGAAAGATAATATATGGATCTAACATTGTAATTTGCACGAAGGTTAATGTTTACAAATTGTCAATGATAATGAACTAGAAAACGTTATTTGCACGCATGGTGTAATAATTGCTCACGGAAATAATTTACGTGCTTCCACTTATTATTTTTTAATAATAAAACAACACAAACTTTATATTATTGTCAAGGTTACCAGCTTTAGGATACGTTGCTATGATGACGTCATCATTTCTCACTTGGAAGTCTTTCACAGCATCCAGAATATCGGCAGGGGTATAACCGAAGAACAGAACATCTTCGTAAACGTGTTCCCCTTTAATAAATAAGAAAAGAAACCATTTACTGTGCAATAAGTATGCAAAAAGTATGAAAGTTTGATATCTCTATAAACAAAATCAAATTCATATATTCTGCGAATAAATAGATCAGTTTGTGATTTACTTTTATGCTTTGAGCAACAAAAGATTTACATAAAATCAAGAAACAGAAAAAATGGCAATTAAAACATAAGAAAGCAAGGAAAATAAACACACAAAACCCAACAACATAAAAGTCTGAAACACCCATAAGAAAACTTGTTTTACGTTCCTTCAAATCCGTACCTTTACAAACACCAATATAGTAAATTCAGTAAAAAAAATAGCTGACCAAGCTATACTTTATATGTTAAAACACCTATTTAGAATATAATGTGAAACCCATTTTTACTCATGAAATTAATATTTTCTTCTTCATTTATGATTATATTTAAAAAAGTAAAATACAGAAAATGCTTACCTGGTAAAACATGTCGGTACGTATTCTCGGCTCCCTCGCATTGTTCCTGATCTTTTTCACCCATTTCTAATAATTGTGTGCCAGTTATGATGTTTGACATCAGTTTTGACACGATTTATTCATTAAAATCACAAACGCCTGCTAACATTGATCACATGTAATCACTGAATCAATGTTTTAATAATAAAACACGATGGACTAATGCATTTTCTATATTTATAGACAATTTGTTCGATAACACAGGGGTTTGTATTATTGGAAAGTGAAATAATAATATCCAATTTTCTATAAACATCATTTAAAACAGTTGATAAAATCAATTCATGGTTACAACTTGATGAATGATAAATATTAACGATTTCAGTTTTATGAATACACAATAACGAAATCACGAAGTCTAAATTTCAACATAATTTACTTTACAACTTGTCTTCATGTCTTCAGCTTAAAAATACACAATTCTTAATTAATGAAACTGAAACCAAGAATTCAAAAATAATTCTTCAATCGAGAATTCTTGAAGTCGAATAGTTTCGTTGAGCTGTAACGCTAAATATATGAATTTGGATGTAATAGTGAATAAATGAAGTAAAGATGTCCCCATATAATTCATAAAACAGCACATCTTACAGTGATATAAATATGTCGTCTGTAAGACTGTTAAGAAAGTCAAGCCCAATATGTTTCGGATTTCGCTTTACAAAATTACCAGGAAAAAAGCTTTTACATCACTTTATAACTAAACACGGTGCCATCCGGAATGCATCTCCGATTACCACTAATCGTGAAAGTTTTAACCCGATGTTTGACGGGAGAGGCCGCAAAGTTGCGATTGAGACAACTAAACAGAAATGGGCAGAAAATTTTAAAATATACAATCGGAAATCAATGCCCTGTGGTAAAACTCTGCGACGATTTTATTACTGATGTTGACAGTAAAGCTTGGAGGCAATGTTAAAGTGATCGCAGATACTTATTGTTGATAGGCAATCATCTGTATTAGCTCGTTAGAGAACTAAGTGGAATATTGGAGAGAGAAAATATTTGTTTTTTATTAGCATGACACTTGATTTACGGGAAGTTTTAAAGACATAAGCTGTCGTCCGTAGATTGCATGAATAAGCGTCTTCTTTGACCGACAAATTCAATGAAACAAATGAAAATATGTATCATGAGAAAGTGGTTATGTGAAATAATGCCGACGCAACATTGCCTTTGTATGCTGTATTTTGCATCAAATGGAATCATCATTAAAAAGAGCTCACATTTTAAGATCTAATTTCTGGTTTCACGCCCATTTATCACATGTTTTTGGTCATATGAAGCCGGACGATCCACACAACCGGCTTTCCTGGATAACTAACCAGTAATTACCAATTTCATCGCAATTCACCGGTTACTTATCCCACCTGATTTCTAGATCAGCCGTAAGAGACAAATGCCCATTTGATCAACGGCCATGGCACGAGCAAATTCTGGCTTGCCCGAAAATCGAACCAGCCACCCCTGGATTACATATTTGGACTTCACGGAGCGGAGGCATAGTGGTAACGGTACAAAAGGATCGCTGAGTTGAGCCAGACTAAAAAAAAATTAGTCTAACTTGCAACAACTTGATTCACAGTCGAGCTGAAATAAATACGTTGTGCATATTTAGAAGAAGAATAAAAATTAAAAAAATGGACTCGGTCTTAACTTAGCGTGTCAGTTGATCGGTAATTTCTCATGCTTTATAATGAAAATATATTATCAATATAATATGAAGCTGATTTGTTCCGTGTCATATTTTCACTCCGCCTGACGAAAACAGAGTAACCAAGTATAAATATATACCCAGTTTATATCAATTTTAAGATATTTTCATAATATCAAGTTAACCATAGGTTCAGAAAACATTTACCATTCTTTAATGACCCCAGAGTCATAAGTCATCTTATAGGGCCTTGATCTAGATTCTCAAGATAATTGTTTGATATACTGATCGTAAATTGATAATAATGGTAAGATATTTACCATTTAGCATCCTTGAAGATAAAGAATATCATGAAAGTACTTTTGTCGCGGATTTTTATATTGGCAAAATATGACAAGTTACCTCCCTTGACATTCTGTAGTACCATACTCCACACAGTTGTCTCCCCTTCATTCTCCGACATAACTACAATGTAAGGGAAGTAACCGCTGTAAAGCGATTTGACAAATATTGTCAAGCGTTCGACTACCCTCATGCGCAGTATAAAAGATTATTTTACGCTTCGTTTACTTTTCGTTTCCGATTTCTTGTAATAAATGAATATTTTCCTCAACTTTTACGCAGCTTTTCAAGAACGTATAAATGTAAATTTTACATTCAGTTGTGAAAAGAAGATACTTTGGATAATAAAAAGATACTTTAAATAATAAGAATAATTTAACCCCAAATAACTACCAACTCCGATATCCATTATACCATGAATTATTGAATAGAGAAAGGATGGTTGACTATTATTTAAACTTCCTACTTTAAAAAAGACGCGTAAATGTTCAGATACATGTGTTCGATCTAGTTTCAGTTTGATTTTCATTTTCAACGCAAGGACTTGTATTCTATTATATTTATTTAATTATTTGTGAAATAATCGTTGTTATGACAGCAGATTTTAAAGATAATGATTATTGTGATATATAACATAGAAAAGAGGAAATAATTATAAAATAAATATTTTAAAAAAATGTTAACAGTTATTTGACTTTTTGAGATTGTTAAAGTGAAGTGATAACACAAATAAATTAAAAAAAATTCTGCGGATATCTCTGATATTTTCAATTTGTTTCACATGGAAAGGTATGTGTTAAGTTTTTTTCCTTTTATATCTTTTTTTCTTAAAAGAATGCGCCATAACTTTTTTTTAACCATAGCCTGCATAGAGCGACCAGATATCATTAGCAAATAGCTTGGGGACGTTGGGGGAGTGGATTGGGAGACGGGTTGGTTACCGAAGCAGACGCTGGGAACCAAGGTGTCGAGTCAGATACCAGTCTGTCTGACAGACACCATTTTTTTACGATTTCAGGAAATTACGATACATCAGAAATTAAGCAGACGATAAGAAATTAAGCAGACGACTTTTATTGCAGACGACACTTTGTCCAGAATGAAAAACAATAAAGTTAAACGATATCATTTAAGCAGACATGATATTTTTTATATTTCTATGTATCTATAAAATATATTAAGCTCTTGGTGGTGATGAGCTTTTGGGTATCAAATTGATAATTATACCGGTTGAGTACAAAGAAATGTGGTCTAAAACCGAATAACCTCGTCTTGGGTTTCGACACTTTAAACGTAAAATATCTTATTCAATTATCAAAACTGACAACTGTTTTATCTCCAGGACATCTAACATATTATTATTACTCGGTTAAAACTAATGTGGAGACAATTTTCTTTTGTAAAAGCATTAAAGGAGCACGCCTTTAGATTCAAGTTAACTTTTATGAAAATTCTAAAACTGTTTTAATTTGTTTAATCACGTTATATTGCCAAGCCTAAGGCAGGACAATTGCACTTGCTCGTATCTTTTTCTTTTTTTTTAATTCAGTTTGACAATTTGTTAAGTCATGTGGAAATGTGCAGCTTTAAAGTGTCTATTGAAATCGAAGAAGTGTAAAGTCAAACATAACATTTACAATCTTTTGAATGCTTTGCTTTTTTTGTTTCCACGAAAACTCCATACTTTCATAATCTCTTTGATCTTTCGAGCGAAAAGGTTTTGCATTTTGAGTACATACTTGATACTTTAGTACATATTTCATTTAACTACATTTTAAAGGGTAGAAATACTGAAAAAGTAGACGCTTACTTTTTAACAAAACGAGAGAAATAACTTAAGCCAACGCAAATATTAAAATACGAACTTATTCAAGGTCCAATTGTACGCTATTTGGTTAAATATTAGCTAACCAGTGTGTAAATATTTCAACATGTTGAAGTTAAACATAAAATTTGAATTCCAACACCTTTTACCATGTCCGAATTAGTTAACTGAATACGTTTTCCCGAAATAAATCAAGCATGACCATGGAAAAATGTTCATAGTTAAACAATCATTTTATTTTTCAATCTTCTCACATGCTGAGTGCTTTCCTTTAAAGGCACATTATGCCTAAGAAATCCATTTTTTTAAAAATCTTCAGAAATGTCAAACATATGTTTGATAATGTTTCAATAATTGATTAAAAGCATGCTAGATGTTAAACAACTGAAGAAAGTAACACTGAACGTTCAGCAATGTGTCCTTAAGGTGGCAAAATGAAGTATTTTGACTTCCATACAAAATACTAAATACACTATAATTATACTAAATACCAACAGAGCAAAAGAAGAAAATATAGTTTATCTACATGGCAATTTGGCAAATGAGTATTTTTTTTAGAAACTGTGACAAAATATCAAAAAATAAAAGCTCTTGAAAAAAAGATAGCATTTCTAAGGCTTAATGGGCCTTTAAAAAATGATGTGTTTTCCCAATATCGTAAAAAATGGAGTCTGTCAAATAAACTGGTTAACCTGGCTAGCATAAGCGACCAGAGTGTGCTCGATTGTAACAAGTTAGGAAGGTAACCGCTGTTTTCGGTGCATTTTGCTTGATTCCTCAATTAACGGAATAATTTTAACGACCACATTAAAATATACACCCACATTCGAGACACTGTCATTAACGTCTGAACCTCTTTTTCCATTAATTTTTGACATTAAGTAAATAAAATCACTGATTTTAATATAGAAGAGTGATTTTGAATGATAAAAGTTCGCACTTCACATACTTACATCTAATTAAGAATATAATTCTAATAATGTTAAATTTTCTGTAAACGCCTTAACATACCAGGTGTGTTATTAAAGAACAAAAAGTAGAGAAGATAGAACGAAAGAAAAGAAAGAATAAATGAGAGAAAACAGGAAAGAAAGAAAAAAAGAAAGACGGAAAGAAAGATAGAAAAAAAGAAAAATGAGAGTGTTTGTCTCGTGAAAAGAGTGTACTCAGCGAAGAATCGAACCCGCACTTGTAGCTCGACAGCGCTGTTATTTATATTAATATGGCATATCTTCGACACTCCGAAAAAGGACATAAATGAATATGTTAAAAATAACTTATGCATGCAAACATTGAAACTCCTGATAAGATGTCATCTCTGGTTCGTTGCATTGTGTACACCGGTCTTACTGATATTTGAGAGACCGGATGTATCCAATGGGTTCATTTAACATTAAATACTACATCATAAAGAGAAACAACAAAAACAGCAGCAGCAACAACAACAAAATACATCTAATTATGCTTATGTCATTTTTTAAATTTTAAAGTTTAATTGACGATTCAACAAAATTTAGATATGTAATTGACAGGGCGAAACACCTATTTACAGACCAATTAAGCAAATAATTTCACGAATTAAATTTGTCCCGTCTACAATGTTTTCAAGAAAAGGTGGTGAATACAAAAGCCAAAATAACAATTAAAAAAACAGACGTTATCAAAGGCTGAAAAAGAAAATAGAAAATAAAGAAAAGAAATGAGTAACCAATTTGTATTGGAGAGTAGGTGTATAACAATCGTAGATTATCACGCCAGGGCGAGTAACTCTATTAAAATTTACGATTTAGAAAATGATTGAATTATCTCCCTTGCATAAGTTATTTTGAAATTTAAATTTTGAAAATTTACAGACGACGCTTAAAACAGTTGGACTTCGTGTCCAGCGAATCTCTATGATAGCTTTGTATAGAATTTCATTGTAAACAGTGACCGCTATGCATATTTTTGTCAGTGAAAAAAATGTATTTCAAAATCATATGAAAACACATAGTTTTTTTGAAATATCTCGCATTTTGATTCTCTGAAAGAAAACAATGATTTCAACAATGATTCCTTGTCAACAATAAATGACAGGTATATCTTGTGGAGTCATACGTACTAACAAGTTTATTGATATTAATATATTGTGAATTCACTAAATTTGGTGGGCATGAAATTTCGTGGTTTTGTCACAAAGAACATTTTCATGGGTTCTTAAATTCATGGACTGTTTATTTTTCCAAAAGGCAAAATATAAATTATGTCCTGCAAAATAATCTTACAGCAGACGAAATGAAATTTCGTTGGATCTTAAATTCTTGGATTGACCTATTCATGAAAATCACAAAAATTAGTTCCCTACGTATAATAATGGTTTTGCAGTACATGTTTATTGATATCAATATATATATTTTGTATATAATATTATATTTGTTGCAGGGTGAACGAGATTTTAGGATGGAACGATACGGAACACCAGACTTTATGCACAGTTGGGTAAATGAATTTCTTGAAGTGCTTTTAGTAGTTATTTTATTAAGTACCTCTTGCATTGATTTTAAAAGCTAATTTGTTTGACAAAGTGCTTACGATAACATGATAAATTATTATAAAAATATTAACACTTTATTGAGGTAAATCTTAAAATAATAAGTGGGTCTAACATTGGTCGAGAATGTTATCTAAAATAGCAATCGGACTTCTATAGGGAGCCGACTTTAATTTGCGCCTCACACACCGTGAGTTCAAATTTTGTCTTTTCGTGTGATGGAGCTACTATGCCAGCTAAGGAAAGTCAAAAGTCCTACTCAGGTACCCGCTCGTGCTCTGACGTCAGTTCCAATCACCAACACTAACATGTTTGCAAGAGCCCAAATGTTGAAAAACTTGACCACTTTAAATTATTTACATGGACTAATGTCGCATCTTGTCAACTATATAGTTTCGCATGCAGGAACATATAACTTTTTTATTTGATTTGATGGCCTCTGATGTATTTATTAGCAATATAGAAATTTAGAACATTTGTAAGTGCTGTTGCACGTTTGAGACACCCATCTTTTAATGACGAAGTACAACACACATCTATGATTTATCTTGATATGAAAACCCTGCCCATCTTTCAAGTTAAAACAACAAAAAAAGAACAAAAAAACAAAACAAAACAAAAAAAAACCGACTACAACTACATGTAATTGATCAATTTTTGTTTTCAGAAACCTTCCGACAACCTAATGAAGGACCTTGACAGGGCAACCAGTTCCAAAAGAACACCCGTATTGGTATGCCAAAATATTCATACTTAGAATTTGAAAGCTTAACTGCTTATTAAGCTAGTTGTTCTAATTTCTGATTACTGGTAACTCGTGCCAAAACTTCGAGTATTAAACGAAATTAAAAAGTAAAAGAAAACTTTGTTAAATGTTTTGTTAATTTGATTATGAAGGAATTTCATTCAGAACTTTGGTACACTGAAAACACTGTAATATTATGTTTAAGATGAATTTACAAAATCTTCACTTGGAAGCTAATCTTAGTCTTAAGTGCTTAAACAGTTAGTTTTTCTGATCAGTTTTACGGTCGGCTGTCTTCTTCTGTCCATGTGTCCGTACATATGTTATGTAAATGATCATTTGAGCTAATGTTAAAATGTATGTACGTTTCCCGTTTAGACTAACGGCAGATCAGAGAGAACAGAGCAGATTTTAAACCCATCTGTTGACGTGATACCGTCTCACGTAAGAGGAAGCACGCCGGACAGGGTAAGTTCTATAATATATGGTGGCTGATTTACGCCATGTCGTATTTTTGCTCCGAGGGGCGCCAGGCGAAAACACGAGCATAAGAAAATGTGATCACCTTGTCGTGTTTTCTCCTGGCACCCTGTAGAGCACAAGCACAACAAAATGGTCACATTGTCGTATTTTCGTGTTTTCATCTGGCGCCCCTCGGAGCACCAAAACGACATAGCACAAAACAGTCACCATAACAATGTCTTATCAAACGATGTACGTCGCGTTGTCCAATGAACATCTTATTGCTTATAAATTGTTAATGTTCAATGGTTTTGGCGTTATGGTTGCTGTTCTTAACCACTGTCTATTTACGCTGTAGGTTCGAATCCTCAAGTTTGGCAAGGTGTGGCAAATGACATTTGCAGTGTCGGTATGACTTAACCCCCTATACCTGCTAAAATAAATAAATAGACGTGCGACACAGTTGTAACTCATCATGTGAAACAACTGCTGTAAATAATATAAACATCTTATTCGTTTATTCAATCGTGAACAAATGTGCTATGATCTTTCTTTTAATATATAACATTTCTTAGTTTAAGTTACAAATCCCAAACTTTTTTATCAAGATTTAATTAACACAATTAAATTACTACAATTAATAATAACGAAACAACAACAACAGCAGCAAATCACAAACGTTTCAAGATTGACACGGTTTAATAATTACAGTAATATAAACAACAACACCACAACAAAAACAACAACAAAACACACATATATGTTGTACCCACTATATATATTTTGTACCCACTTACATAAAAGTATTCGTGCTTCTTATACAAAATAATCATGTGCTTATTTATTTAGGTTGCAAGTGTTGGTAAAATCCTGCTCAAATCTGGGGGCGGAGAAGAAAAGTTCATTGACACCGGTAACCTACAGAAAAATTCCGAAAATGTAATTACCAAAGTTAATCAATATAGTTCATGAATAGCAGTCTTTAACTTTTTAAAGACCTTTTTTAAACTGGAAAAAATATTGAATTTCAATTACAACAATATAGAAACTACGGAAGAGCATTAGTGCCAAGTGTATGTTTTTTATTAACTCGAAATTTCGAGTTACTAACTCGAAATTTCGACTTACTAACTCGAAATTTCGAGTAACTTATCTCGAAATTTCGAGTTACTTATCTCGAAATTTCGACTTAGTAACTCGAAATTTCGACTTAGTAACATTACAAGAATGACCAAAGTTATTAGTTAGATGGTATAAGATATAGTAGGCAGTGCCTTTGAACGATGGAGATGGAGAAACGGGTGCCTGGACAAAAACTATTGAAATTTAACTAAAACTTAGTAATGGCATGTACACACCCGACATAAAAAATACAAGGCTTCCTTTAATTTGTACGTTCAGGCGTTCTTCAGACGTTGTATTGTATCCCATCTGTTCGAACATATTATCTTTTCACTAATCATATTCTTCTCATCCCTGTAAAAAAAAACCGATCCTATACTTCACGTGTGGGACATCTGAGGAAAGTATCGCGGCGTGGCTAAAATAGGGCGTGCTGAGGCCTTTGTCAAAATTGTTGGACTGACTATATTTCTTTTATAATATTCCCAACATATATATAACAACAAGTATCACTTTTATCAACTTTTATCAACACAATATGAATCAAAGTATTAGCAAATAATGAATAATGTTACAAAAACATTATTAGTATAAAGAAACGTGACAGACTAACTGGCGTATACACGCCATTTAAAACTTATTTAACACATGATATTGCACAGTTTACAATAGGGTGGGTTTTGGACTTGTTGTTTCTCCACATGATGGTTGTATGTGTGCTTAAGAAAAAGAAACACCCGGTTAACACGGAAATGTGGAAAGTGTGATTTTACAACCCCCCCCCCCCCCCCACAAAAAAGCGAAGGATATGTTCAGTATGTGTGGACAATTTGACCCTATAAAATTGTTCTGCTAAATAAATGTTAAAGGTGCTCTGTCAATGTGCAACAGCTACACACGAAAGAAAGTATCTTGAATTCAATCCTTGTTTTCACCGGCAACCAATGAAAGTCGTGCAGTGTAACTCGAAATTTCGAGTTAGTAAGTCGAAATTTCGAGTTACTAAGTCGAAATGTCGAGTTAGTAAGTCGAAATTTCGAGTTAATAAGTCGAAATTTCGAGTTAGTAAGTCGAAATTTCGAGTTAGTAACTCGAAATTTCGAGTTAATAAAAAACATACACCTGGCACTAATGCTCTTCCGTAAAAAACATTGATAAAAAAAGATTAAAATGACAGAGGTATTTCTTATTCAAATAATTTTTCGTTATTTCTCCTGAAACTATTTTCTGAAAAGCGCAAAAGATTATCTCGGATGGATGTCAAGTACTGATGTATTAACTGTTATTATACTTAATTTCTTTTTCCATAATTGGATTGGTGTTGCCAAAAAATGAGTGTGCCTTTAAAAGAAATATATTCATGTTCGTGTGAGCATCGACATAAATGCTTTTGCTTTGCCTAATACTAAAGAAAATAGAAATTTCTATCAATTACTGGCCCATTATGCCCCAGAAATGCTTTATTTTTATTTCTCAAAAGATTTTTATGTTTTATTTTTAATTCCAAAAAAAAATAAAAAAATAAAGAAAGAAAAAAGAAATATTCATTGGCCATTTTCCCGAACCATTCGCTTCTTTTGTTTGATAACAATTAGATTGATTTAATATATTGTATGGAAGTCAAAATACAACTTTGTTTACATTTTACTACTTTCATGACCAGTAATTTCAGATTCAGCATTACTTTCCACAGGTTAAAAGTATGATATGCTTTAAAACAGTTATTTCAACGATATAAAACTTATGATTGACTTTTCTATTGAAGAAACAAAAATGTTGTTTGTGAGGCATAATGTGCCTTTAAGATATTTTACGTTCATTAAAATAATTTATATTATTTTACATGAAACAGTTTATTTGTGTCAAGAGATAAGTATAAATTTTAATTTATTATCTTTATTTCGTGTTTCAGAAGACAAACAATCATAGCCAAGATCTGACCGTGTCCACTAGAGCGTTTGTATACGCTATCACGGTAATTATTTTTTATTATACCTGGCATAAGCTTTTCATTAGATAATCGTAACCTTTATATTATTAGTTATAAAGACCGTTGACAGGTTATATGGCCCTATATAAACGGCTATTTGTAAATATAACCCCAGCTCGGATATATTTACAAATAGCCGTTTATATAGGGCCATATAACATGTCAATGATTGTTATAACGTCATGATTATCCAATGAAAAGCGACGTTACAAACGTGCAGTACTATAAAGTTGATTTATAAAGAAATCTCGCTTTTTTTCTCTAAAAATGATGCTTGCTGTAGTATACATTCGTAATAAATATTTCTGACAGGTTATATGGTCGTATATAAACGGTTGTTTGCAATATAATATTATATTATATTTAAAAACAACCAATTATATAGGGCCATATAGCCTGTCAAAAATTTATAACTAATAATATTATACCTCATTTGCATATGCTCTTCTATATTTAATATGACGTCACCCGGTCCATAAACCGCATACAGACCGGGGGCGGTCCATAATTGTTATGAAGACCGTTTAAACGAAACTTTCACGACGTGCGAATTTGACGACGACACAAACTGTCAAAATGGCCAGGCGATTCGCCTTTTCATCAGAGACATAAATTTATTACATGTTGATCAAAAGTCATGATTTGTCTTTAATTTAATCATAAATTTTATTCAGGGCTGGGAATCAAAACTGCGTCGTATCCTACAAAATGTAAACAAACGCCGCCATCTTGGAACGAAAAATGTATGTTTTTGTTTATAACTCTTTTTGTTGGAAATGACTGAAAACCAGATATATGTATTAACACGCTACACTATTTTCCGCTTCGTTCGGTATATGTTGCTTGGACAACTATTTTGTAAAACAAAAGTTATAGCGAACTTGCAACTCGAAGCGGAGCAGAATTTTTATAAAAATGTGTGGATACGACGCAGTTCATATTGCTTTATCTATCGTTTCTATTTCAAATCAATTATATACTCGTTTTCAGAGTTCACCATAAACTTCAAAACATAATTTTGCATCATTTACTAAATTTCCATTAAAAAGAGATGTTTATTTTCCAAGAAAATAATGATTTTTACGAAATGATACGACGCAGTTGAAAATAAAATATGATACGACGCAGTTGTATTTTCATTGCAGGCTGCATATTGGTTTTAAACTATTTAAATTATGTGCTAGGTATGCTAATAACGTCCAACAACATTTCTTGTTTACAACTTAAGTCAAAAGCAGAGGTCACTCATTGGTTCCATAAAAATGGAAATGTAATACAATTCTATTAAGGCTGCATTTTTCAGTCGCATTTAAGAACCTATCATAAGCATCTTCAAATTCCGAAAAGCTGTATCAAATACAATATACATTGAAACACTTGATCGCACACCCATATGACAACGTGTTCCAGTGTTGCCTTAGCATGCTTCTAAAATTGTTCACGTGAGTTCGAAATGGGAGTGATTACTATTTTTGATTCCAGTGTAACCTCTCCTTGACCCTGTACTAGTATTAATCAGGAATGACTTTTTTAAAAAAGAGAAAAAAAAAAAGAAAAAATTACAAAATTTGAAAAGGTCTCTTGCTATCGGAAGAGAGCTATGCGCAAATTGCATGCCTACCTTTGTTACTTGTAATTAGCAATAATTTCCGTCAATATGTCTTTTACGTGCCGATTTTTTTGTATTCTTTTTCTTAATAATCGGTGAGAACAGATGAGCTTTATCATTTAAAACTGAACATTAAATTTTTAAAATTATATTATAAATGGTTAAGCTACAATTTTTGCAAGTAGGTTATGCGTTCCGTTTTCAGCGCCGCGAAACTTTACTTCTGATTTTGTCGTATTGCATTTCTTTATCGCCGATGAGGAAAGGTCTACGGAATGTTTTTTCTATATTTGCACTTTAGTATCATTCTTCTCCATTAAAAAACTTTAAATTTTCAAAATCGAGTTACATATGATACAACTACAGATTATTTTGTAAAGAAGGTGTCCGTTTTGCAAAGGTATTTACGCTGTGCACCGATGATATAGGCAGGCATGATCTTTCAACAGTATTAAAGAAGTTTTCACAATATTGAACAGAAAATTTAGGTCAGATTATCGCATCGAATTTTCAACAGACTAGAGACATGGCATCTTAACATATCATGATAATGAATTGCCTGAAAACTTAAACAAAGGTTTTCAGAAAATGACTTTACAGAGGATTATTCATTGAAAACTCCCAGGTTCTTTTTATTCTTCCGTGTGGAATTCGAAAACCCCAGGTTCTTTTTATTTCTTCCGTGTGGAAAAACCTATCAAGCTAGTTTTAAAATGACGATGGTTCTCTGCAGGTGCAACATTTTGCCTGAAATAATGCACAAAGGCGCACCTGAGGTCCTCGCCCTTAGTAAAGCTAATGTGTAGAGTGAAAGTTTGAAAACAAACCACAAAAAAGCAGTCATTACCCAGAACATGCAGAACCACAGTTAACTTAGAGCGTCTCCAGGAACGATGGTTAGGAAACTACCCGCCTATATGACTGAAATACTGTTGAAAAAGGCGTAAAATGAAACAAACAAACAAACTTAGAGCGTAGCTAGCCAACATGAATTCAAGTTAATAGATTTCTATATTTTTTTTGCGAAAAAATAGGGATAATTTAAACCTATAGGAAAATATAAGAAATTATTTCAGATATTATGATCAATTAGGTAACATGTTCATGTTTAACTGAAAAGTAGCTTCCGCAATGTAAACTTTCAAATTAAATGTTATATTGGACATGACACAATGTATTCTAAATAATCAAAAGCAACAGAACATTGCTAAAAATGATCTGGGTTTTTTTATCTAGCGCAAGTGATTATTCCATAAAATAGAAATATTTTGCCAAAATTATCCCTGTTGAAAAGACTGCCAAAAATACAACTGCGTCGTATCATATTTTATTTTCAACTGCGTCGTATCATTTCGTAAAAATCATTATTTTCTAAGAAAATAAACATCTCTTTTTAATGAAATTTTAGTAAATGATGCAACATTATATTTCGAAGTTTATGGTGAACTCTGAAACAAATAAATAATTGATTTGAAGGAAAAAACAATAGATAAAGCAATAAGAACTGCGTCGTATCCACACATTTTCATAAAAATTCTGCCCCGCTTCGAGATGCAAGTTCGCTATAACTTTTGTTTTACAAAATAGTTGTGCAAGCAACATATACCGAACGAAGCGGAAAATAGTGTAGCGTGTTAATACATATATCTGGTTTTCAGTCATTTCCAACAAAAAAAGTTATAAACAAAAACATACGTTTTTCGTTCCAAGATGGCGGCGTTTGTTTACATTTTGTAGGATACGACGCAGTTTTGATTCCCAGCCCTGTTATTTATAGTTTGTGAAATTCTAAAAGTCCGGGTTTTTGCCTAGTAAATTAAAATATTTAATTTGATTAACAAAAATGGAATATTAAAAGAAGAGCATGATTTTTTATTGCATCGCTTGAAAATAATTAAACAAAATCCGACTAGGGTTTGAGATATTTCACACACTGAACAAGTAAAATTATTATTTGAAAGCAAATAATAGTAAAATAACAGCACAAAACAAATGGATGAAAGGATTTAGATTCGGTATAATATAACAAATAAAACATGGCCTTTCGGGCAAAATGCAAGTTTACGGACTGGTTGGTCAGACCTCGGAAGGTGTATGTCCCTCAGCTGCGCTTCGGGCCATATAACTTCCTCAGTCTGACCAAACAGTCCGTAAACTTGCATATTGCCCTCAAGCCCATGTTTTATTTGTTAAATATGACATCACATGCTGTAAATTAATATTTCCGGGTTTGCAATATTCCCAGGGGCGAGTAATCTTTATAGACTTAAGAAAAACATAATGTTCTAGTTCTCTCCCCTGGCTTCATACACATGTTCATAAGGAAAAAATCATTCCTTGTTCAGATTTTCCTCATGTATCTTAAAGATAGAACATTGCATAACTGTGCTATTCTAATGGACCTAATGGATTGTATCAACCTCTTTGATTGCAAAATTTTGTATTCACTCGCTCTTCGGGTTTGTCTATTCGAAATCAACTCCAGAGACACGAACCAACATAATAAATAGTTTAACATATAATTCATACACATAGAGCTATGTCGCTATTATAAAACATATCTGCTTAGTTTATCAGCTGTATCATTATATTTCTGTTTAGTTTGTACTCCGTAATGGCACATTCCGGTTAAAGTTGGCGTTCCTGAAATGGCACATTTCTGTTTAGTTTGTACTCTGTAATGGCCCATTCCGGTTGAGGCCCCCCCGCCCCCCCCCCCCCCCCCTCTGAAATTACACATTTCTATTTAGTTTGCACTGAAACGACCCATTTCTGTTTAGATTGTACTCCGTAGGCACATTTCGGTTAAGGTTGTCGCCCCTGAAATAACACATTTCTGTTTAGTTTGTTCTCAATAATGGCACATTCCGGTTAAGGTTGTCGCCCCTGAAATGACACATTTCTATTTAGTTTGCACTGAAACGACACATTTCTGTTAGTTTGTACTTCGTAATGGCACATTCCGGTTAATATTGTCCCTTGAAATGACCCATTTCTGTTTAGTTTGTTCTCCGTAATGGCACATTTCGGTTATGGTTGTCGCCCCTGAAATGACACATTTCTGTTTAGTTTACACTGAAACGACGCATTTCTGTTTAGTTTGCACTGAAACGACCCATTTCTGTTTAGTTTGTACTTCGTAATGGCACATTTCGGTTAAGATTGTCCCTTGAAATGACACATTTCTGTTTAGTTTGTTCTCCTTAGTTTGCACTGAAACGATACATTTCTATTAAGTTTGTACTTTGTAATGGCACATTTCGGTTATGGTTGTCGCCCCTGAAATGACACATTTCTATTTAGTTTGCACTAAAACCACACATTTCTGTTAGTTTGTACTTCGTAATGGCACATTCCGGTTAAGATTGTCCCTTCAAATGACACATTTCTATTAAGTTTGTTCTCCATAAAGGCACATTCCGGCTGTGGTTGTCGCCCCTGAAATGACACATTTCTATTTAGGTTGCACTAAAACCACACATTTCAGTTAAGTTTGTACTCCGTAATGGCACATTTCGGTTAAGGTTGTTATCTTTAAACGGGGCGTTTCTTTTTAGTTTGCATGTTGTAATGGCACATTTCTGTCCTCTGTAATGGCATACTAGTACTTCTATCTCGTTTTCTTTTATAATGTCACAAATCTGTTTAGTTTTCAACTGTATAATGGCACAGTTTTGTTGAGATGTCATTTGTCATGGCATATTTTTATTTTGTTTTCTTTTGTAATGGCATAATTTACTTCATTTTAGGTTTCCTTTGTAATGACATACTACTGTTTTGGTTTTCTTTTGTTTTGGCACACGTCTGTTTTGTTTTCTTTTTTTAATGGATGTGTTTGTAATGGAACACTTTTGTTTTGTATTCTTTTGTAATGGCATACCTTTGATTAGATGCTTTTTCTATGGAACACTTTTTTTTCTCTTTTTAATGGCATACCTTTAATGAGACAGGGTCTTTAAAGACTGTGGTTTAGATATTTTTGTAATGGATCACTTTTGTTTTGATTTCTTTTGTAATGGCATACCTTTGTTTAGATGTTTTTGCTATGGAACACTTTTGTTAAGTTTTCTTTTTAAATGTAATACCTTTGTTTGGATGTTTTTTTTTTTTTGTTATGGAACACTTTTTTTTGGTTTTCTTTTATAATGGCATAACTTTGTTTTGTTTTATTTTGTAATGGCACACATATCTGTGCCAGTTTTCATTTTCAATAGCATACGTATGTGTTGAGTTAATAACGTCTAGTTTATTCCTTGCAATGTCTCCTCATTGTTAAGTTTTTCTCTATAGTAGCACATTTAAGTTTAGGTTTTCCGTTGAATTCACACTTTTCTATTTAGTTTGTTCGCATTAATAACACTTTTCTTTGTGAAAGTTTTAAAATCTTCACGCTGTATCGGATGTGAGTCACGTCCATTTAAAAATAAATCAAAGATCACGTGATATTGTTTTCAATTGTTAAGAGATTTGGGTCGAAACAGACCATTTTGTTACATCATTTGAATATCATTTTGAAACAGGATGTATTTTGGACATATCAATTCATGCTTCCCTCTGACGTATTCGTCAAATTTGCCTTTTATTTATGTAAAACGAGACACATAATTACTGAATTATTGAAATACCCTGTTTTGTAAACATTTATATTAAAACTTGGCCATATAATGCTTGATGGATTTTATGCAAGGCAAACTTCCTAGTTTTATATTTTTAAGCAAAGATGTCGTTTAGTGGATGTTTAACGGTTTGTTTTTATTATTGATACCTTATAAAATTTATTAAAGCGAAAAGATATATATTGTCTTTGGATGCTTTGCTTACGTTTCAGTTTATTTATAGTAATCCGAGCATTAATTCTGAATATACGAGATATGCGACCAATAAAATAAAAAAGTAGGTGCATGTAATAGGTACATGTATTGACATCCTTGACAAGATTATGGTAATAAAATGTGTTACTCATAGACAAAAATAGCATTAGGAAGTCGTGGAGTAATCCCCGACTGGAACAAATATATGTAATACTTGAATATTTTTCGAATATTCAAAATATCCGTCAAATTTTCGAATATCTAACGAATCCTCACATATGCGGCAAATATTCGAATATCTGTTGAATATTCGAATATGACAAAATAGCACTAAATAAACATATTCTTGTATTTGCAGTCAGCTAATGAGGCTGCGGAGGCGTCAGCAATGGAGGTAAATATGCATTTTTTTGTCTTTGTGTTATAATTCAACTTTTGCTTTTTTAGAACTGAATGTTTTGAAATAACTTTGATTTACACATACTTGGAGGTCTTAAACCGTTTTAAATCATAACTACTTGCTTAAGAAAATTGTAAATTATCTTTATGTTATAGATGCAAAGAAACGCAGACGACACTGACGGAAACTCATCACGTGACGATGAGGACGAGAAAAACGTGAGTACCACACATACGTTTGTTACGACAGTTCTTTGAATAAACAAGCGGTGTAAACATAGAAAAAGAAAGAACTTTATGGGTAAAATTAATTGGTATAAATATTTTTTTATGTGAGGAAGCTAGCTATTCAGCTAGCATACCGAACGTCAGCGGTTCTACTTAGGAGCCCGTTCGTGAATGAAATAATGCACACACAGAGGGGCATCTGAGTGCTTTCTATACCAGAAAAGCGAGAAAATCTCCAAATGACCTTTACTGTGTTGGTGCAGCGTTAAACCTAAACAAAAAAAAAGTTAGGCATCAAAACCATGTGCAAATGTTTATCCTTAAGTGTCTTCTATAAATGAACAAGCCATTTGTTTCCCATTTGTCATTTCTGTAGTTTAGTTTCTCACTTTGGTATGATTTAAGTAGTTTGCTTAGTGTTATAACAACATATTTCGTTTTAAATATTGTCAAATTAAGTAGTGGCGTGACATAGTGGTTAACGCGTCAGACTGGTAATCTAAGGATTGCTGCCAGCACCAGGGGCAAACCCTGTGAGGGGCAAGCCGTTGTTTTCGTGAGCAAGAAACTTTACATTCATTGCTTAGTACTGGTTGGTTCCAGGAATGGATTCTCTAATGTGTTAATAAGCTTATAGCTTCCAATATAATCTAACTAAAATAAATTTGTATAAACTAAATACATATTAAAAAAATTTTTTTTACATTTATACAGAGGGTATTCTGGCCAAAATGTTTACTTCTGATGCTAGCGGTTATGATGTTAATAGCTGGCATTGTTGCAGTGATTGTTGTCGTTGATAAAGATGAACCGGGTAATCCAAATATTATATACACCAGCTTTGCCGGAAAAATTAAGCAAATAATAATAATAATAATAATAATAATAATAATAATAATAATAATAATAATAATAATAATTCAGCTATATATGTCTGTAAGTATACGTCTTTATAACGTCGTTACTTCTATAAATTATTTTAATTATTGATTTTTAAATAATAAAAAACAACAACGTTTCAAGTTTGACCTTGAAACTTATTTTATATGCATAATACATCATTAACCTTTGTCAATTGATAAATAGTGTATTATTCATGTATGATTTATCAAGTTTTTCCTGAAATTTTAAAAACAACAGCACGGAGAAACAGTAAAAACAACAACAAATTTAGCAAATTGATTTCATTATGTTATTTATCACTTAAGAAATAATCATCCATTAAATGTATTTACCTAAAGTTGGAAAAAACAACATAAACACAAAGATAACAACAACACCATAATTTAACATTACCTTTTAATCAAATTAGCATCAGTTAAACTTACTATGCCATACTAAAAAAAATAGAATATCAACAACAAGAACAAAAACAAGAACAACAAAAAGAATAACAACAACAACAACAACTACAACAACATCATCATCATCATCATCACCATCATCATCAAATAAATCATCATCAACAACAACAAAACAACAACAACATCCACCACCCACCCCCACCCCCCCCCCCCCCCAAAAAAAACAAACAAAAAAAAACAACAACAACAACAACAACAAAAAAACAGTAGCAGTTTAAACAGGCTAAGCAGACAAAGTAACGGATTTGCACTCCAGAGATCTCTGGTTTAATCCTCGGGCAAGGCGTAATTTGTTCGCGAAAACTGATCTTGAACATATGAGTCTAATGGTCATTTGTATCCCACCGCTGATTTAGAAATCAGTTGACGAGTAATCAATCCATGTCATTGTGAGAAACTTTATAAGTTTTGTATAAATATTTTGATTATAGAGAAATTCTTTCAAAAATTTCTTTTTTTTTTATTAATATTATTATTATTTTTTCTTTTTCTTTTTTAGAACCAAGGGGTAAAGTTATACCTGATCCAATAACACATGGTAAGTTCATATGTATATAGTTTATAGTGTATCATATAAACATGTATCAATAAATAAAATAACCCTTCAATTTGTTTTTCACTTTACTATCTATGAATTATCTAAGATTTTGCAGTTACACCTGAATCTCTTAAAGGTTTGCTTACAACATATGCATATATATCAGTTCAATTTGTTCTACAATTTTACCTGAATGGAAGTTAAAGTTTCGTGTTTGTATAATTTGCTTCCTGTATGCCTCATCATAAACACGGGTATTACCCAGAATTCATCATGTTTATACACCCGTGTGGGAGGGGTGAGGGTATGGATTTGCCTTTGTCCGTCCGTACCGCTGTCCTGCTGGTCGTCCTTATAGTGATAATGTACTAAGATGTTGCTACATACGCGACCCATGGAGACATTTCTAGTTACATCTCTTTAAAATTTATGTTACTTTTCATTGTTATGATTAATGGTAACTGAATGGCGCCGAGTGTAGTTATGAAGTGATGTACAGTTCTTTTTTCTGGTAAAATTTTAAAGCGAAATCCTAAACATATTTTGGCTTGACTTTTTAACAGACTTGAGACGTTACAGAAGACAACTTTATTTCAATACCATTGGCTAGGCCAAATACATATTGTGTTGTATTATATTTTATTCCTTTTCATATTTCATATTGTTTTATATAGTACTGTATTATATTGTATTGTATTGTATTACATTGTATATGCAATAATTCATTGTATTGTTTTGTGCACTGCATAGCATAGCATAATATTGTATTGTATTGTATAGTACTGTATTATATTGTATTGTATTGTATTACATTGTATATGGAATAATTCATTGTATTGTTTTGTGCACTGCATAGCATAATATTTTATTGTTCTGTATAGTACTGTATTGTATTGAATTGTTTTGTATTGTATTGTTGGTACCACGTTGTTGCGTTTGTTCAAGTATGTATCGTCATTGCGCCTGTTGTCCACTACAATAAAAAAAATAAGTTTATGGAACTGGTACTTTATATTAGATATAACGTTCAGTTAATAGACTTCGACCTAATTTGTGACTGTGCCCATTGTGTAGAATTATTAAAACAATTAAAGAAAAAAGTTGCCCTCTAAAATCGATGAAATGGAAGTCCTAATGAACGCTCAAAACATCAAAATGGAAAGTGTTGCAGGTTTTGCACAATTAAGGCTGTTCAAGAACTGCAGTGATAAAGTTATGCTCCCATAAATATTTCCCATACCCCTAGCACCGGCTTAAACATGCCTCAATAATTAAACATGAAAATGAAGTTTAATTAAATATTTTAACAGACACACATATTATAGAAGGTTAAACTGTGATAACTGTTGGATCACGTGACCGCATGTTTTCTTCTTTTCAGAGGAGTGTAAGAGTAGATCATTTTACCTTGGAGACAAATTGAACTTCACGTGTATCTTTGACGTCACACACGAGTACAGAAAAATACTGACGAAAGCGAAAAAGGTTGAAGTTATACCGCAAAACAAGGTAAATGTAAGACTAAATTTCCTTTACCTTTCAATTTATACATTAGGACCATACGCCGATTTTCATGAAAAAGTGTCACAGTGAAGGTTCAATGATAACCGCCGTATATGAACACATCTGCGAATGTTTCTAAACTCAAAATTTTACTATTTTTGTGTTTAAATGTTGAAATCTGATTAAACCGGTGCTAGGGGGCATGGACGATAACTTGCACTTTCAAGTACCGTCCATCAACAGGCTCAATCAAACCGAACTTTTAGCAATTTCAAATGTGTCATTCTGGCCGTTCTTTATGTATTCCGTTTTTCTCTATTCTATTTCCGTTTTTCTCTATTCTATTTCCGTTTTTCTCTATTCTATTTCATGTACCGTTTTTCTCTATTCTACTGTCTTTGCTATGCTGTGACAATTATGATCAAGATCACAACCATTTCCGACAACTTGCAATAATCTTTTGATAAACTAATCATTAACATGCTGAATTTGTTGTTAATGAATTTGCAGTTTTGAATCTGGAACACTATGAGTACAAAAATTAGCTAAATTTGAAATGTTCTTTGAACAGCTTAAAAAGTATTGCAGGAAAATATACTGTGAAAACACGAATTTATAAAGTTGAAATCGTGAAGTTGAAATCGTGAATTCGTGAAGTTGAAATAGTAAATTCGTGAAGTTCATAAAATTGAAATGTCCCTAGCCGTCTTTCGTATAAAAATCCATTCACTATAATTCCTGATTCTTCTTTTCTTTTACAGGTTCTAGCCAACAACTTATTTACGTATTCAATGAAAATAACTAACGACGTTTCAAGTCGTTACGAAATAACTATCACAAATGGATCACGTGCTAAATGTAGTTCAAATGGAACATATGACGTCATATTCAAAGATGAAAATGACGAAGCTATACACTCGGCAAATGTTAGATTCGCAATAAAAGGTAAATAACTAATCATAAACATACACTTGTTTCTAATATGTTGTCTATGTTATATTATGTTATTGCAGCTAAATTATTTTGCAAGGAAGCTTTTGCCGCGATTCGAGGCAAGTTTACCGGACTTGAAAGCGAGCTGTTTCGGATATTCTTGAAGACAACTTACGATTTGCTAGTTGCAACCTGCCTTATAGGCAAGTTGTACGTCACTATCTGGTAGGCAACTTGCTATGAGCGAGCTGTATTGGGATATATTGTTGATAACTAGCCTTGAAGGCGAGCTGAAAACTGGACTTTCTTTTTTGACTATCTTGAAGGTCTATCTTGTAGGTGTGTCTTGTAGATATATCTTGAGAGTCTATCTAGTAGGTCTATCTTGTAGGGAAGAGTTGACATGACACTATCTAGATAGTTTACAATAGACAGTTGATAATTTTCATTGTGCCGGTGTTATATGCCGAAACGCCACTTAATGTCGCACCTACCGCTAAATGTCGCACGATTGCCGCTAAATGTCGCAATCGCCGCTAAATGTCGCAAAATCTTCTGCCGTTGTAATGTTAAATGTATTGCACATGTATTGTATGTGCACAATTTTTTCCCTGGCTGTGTTGGTGTGACGTTTTAATGTCTTTAACATAATTCAAAATTATACGTTTTGAAAACTAACCAGGAGAAATAAAACTCTTATTATATCTGTTGTATATGTAACCGGGGATAAATGATTGAAGACTTGCTTCTATTTCATCATTTTATTGTCGGACATACAAAAACGAGCCTACAAACAAAATACAAAGGAATTACAAATAATTGATTTACAAAATAATAAAATTACACATTTCATCCAATTCATCAATGGAAAAGAATAAATATGACATTAGAAATATATAAATTCTTACCAGGATCAGCATACAAGAACTTTCCATAAATGATGTTCAAGTTTACTATAATAAGTAACTACTTTTATCAACAACTATACTGTAAAGTAAGTTATCAGTTACTCGTATAATGCGGAACTGGCGAAGGGAAATATTTTACTTAAGCAAGAAAATGTTTCGCGGGGATTTTAGGGTCATGCACGTGAAATATTAGTGAACACATTCATACAACCTTTCAACTTACAGTGACCTCTCATACGAAACAGACTATACAAAACATTACCACAGTTAGGCAAACAAACGACGACACAACAGTTAGGCGAATACCAACCAAATACAACATAACACGGAGGATACAATATACCAGTGATAAACAGAAAACGATACACAGGTTACACATTCCCTCCCTTTAAGGAAATGGCTCCTGACATTTCCATAACTCAGTTATATTTTAGTTTCAAATAAAAACATCAGGACATAATCATCTTCAATAAATCATAATTATGTGTATAATAATACACAACAATTATGTTTATTTCTTGTCTTTATGAAATGACAAATATAAATCTATTGATATCTTTCTAATGAATTTTCAATTGTAATGTGAAATTAATAAGTTAATTTCTTTAATTGAAATAGGTTCATATATATGATTCAGCTCTATATTCAAATAAATCTATTTACAAATATTTACAATGGATAGACAAAGTTGCATCACAGTACACTGGTACTAGTATGCAATAATAAATCCGCCATCCTCTCTAATACTTCAAGATCAACTTCTCCACATACAAACAACAACTTGTTCACATATGGCAGATGTGGAGAATTTTTTTTTTTTTTTTTATTTATATATTTTTTTTTTTAAAACTGTATAAACACATGAAAACATATATGATTTGTTCAGACATAGTTCCTAGTTATTTCTAAAATAGAAACATTGATAAATCAGGTTTACTGACCTTAATTTCTGTGAAGAAATTAATTTAGTAAATTCAAAATTTTACATTATATAATAATATATGATAATCATACAAATACTTCCAAATCTTGGCTAGGATTTGTTACAATAGGGGTAACCCATTCACCGTATCTCTGCGGTGGGACTCTGCGCCTTACAGGACGAGGACTTGGAGGAGGAGGTTCAGGGTTAGGTACTGGGGTGGAGCCAACTTCCTGATCACTTACCAAATTAGTCTCAGTCTCTGATTGCAGTGATAAACCATCGATTCTTGAAAAATGGTCAGATAGAGTAATGGTCTCTGTAGAGGGGTCACTCTGAAATGATTCCAGAGCCTTTGAAGGTTCTGGGGTCACAGACACAGTATGTTTAGACCTACTGGACTGTTCTTTAGGACGTTTCTGAGATCTTAGTGGTGGAGGTAGGTATAATGTTTCGGTATTATCTGAATCGGAATCAGTGGAATCCTCGATTTCAGTGGACAGAGTATCGGCTGTCGACCTGAACTTATTAGGAGTTCTCTTGCGAGAGCTGCTTTCTGGTCTAGGTTTGATACTCTCCTGTTCCACAAGTTGAGTAAAAGGATAGGGAAGTAACATATTCCGGTGTAGAGTCTTAATTGGGCCCTTCTTGTTTTCTTGCTGAACTCTATACACGGGAATGTCAGGATTGGGTATAGAAAGGACTATATAAATTTCCTCATCCCAACGATCTGACAACTTGTTAGTCCCTTTCACTCCAACTTTCCGAATCAGTACCTTATCTCCAACATCAAGTCGAGTATGCCTCACTTTCTGATCATATATGGTCTTGTTTTTGGCAGCCATCCTACCAGCTTCTTCTGCAGCCCTGCGGTATGCTATCTGCAATCTCCGATGGAGTTTTGATGCATAAGAGGACTGATTCCCTGTGTGCTCTTCTGAAGGATCTGTGCCAAGATAAGCATCTACAGGAAGCCGTGGGTGCCAACCAAACATCAGAAAATGAGGGGCATATCCGGTTGCATCATTTTTGGTGGCATTGTATGCCTGAACCAATGGACCTATGTATGCCTTCCAGTCATACTTCTGGTGGTTTTCAAGGGTTCCAAGCATTTTCAGGAGTGTTTGGTTCCAACGTTCAGCACCTCCATTTCCCATGGCGTGATATGGAGTAGTTCTGGACTTCTTAATGCCAGCAATCTTGCATAACTCCTGAATGGTGCGACTTAAAAAGTTGCGACCTTGGTCACTATGCAATTGCTCTGGGAACCCGTAGTATCGAAAATACCCTTCATAGAGTGCCTTCGCTGTGGTAGCTGCAGTCTGGTTCCTACATGGAATGGCCTGTGCGAAACGTGTAAAATGGTCCACTATTACAAGGATATTTTCAATACCACCTTTACTGGGCTCAAGCTTTAAGAAGTCTATGGAAACCAATTCCATTGGTCTGGTAGTATGGATAGGTTTCAGTTCGGCGAAAGGCTTGTTACATGGCGTCTTACGCTTGATACAGCGGTCGCATCTCTCAACCCAACTGAAAATGTCCTTTTCCATGCCAGGCCAGTAAAACCTTTGTCTACCAAGCCACAATGTCTTCTCTTTGCCCTGGTGCCCGGCATCATTATGAATACCTTTCATGGCGATGTTCCTATGTGATTCAGGAATGACAAGCTGTTTGACTTGTTGACCATCCAATGTAGCGATTCTGTACAGAATATTATTTTGTATGAAAAGCCGATTTGCTTCTCTAATGTACTTCTGTACAGCAGGTTGCTTAATACTGGTGAGTATCCCCGCCTGTCACGCGGGAGACCGGGGTTCAATTCCCCGTCGGGGAGCCATTTGTAACCGGGGATAAATGATTGAAGACTTGCTTCTATTTCATCATTTTATTGTCGGACATACAAAAACGAGCCTACAAACAAAATACAAAGGAATTACAAATAATTGATTTACAAAATAATAAAATTACACATTTCATCCAATTCATCAATGGAAAAGAATAAATATGACATTAGAAATATATAAATTCTTACCAGGATCAGCATACAAGAACTTTCCATAAATGATGTTCAAGTTTACTATAATAAGTAACTACTTTTATCAACAACTATACTGTAAAGTAAGTTATCAGTTACTCGTATAATGCGGAACTGGCGAAGGGAAATATTTTACTTAAGCAAGAAAATGTTTCGCGGGGATTTTAGGGTCATGCACGTGAAATATTAGTGAACACATTCATACAACCTTTCAACTTACAGTGACCTCTCATACGAAACAGACTATACAAAACATTACCACAGTTAGGCAAACAAACGACGACACAACAGTTAGGCGAATACCAACCAAATACAACATAACGCGGAGGATAAAATATACCAGTGATAAACAGAAAACGATACACAGGTTACATATAAAAATGATAAGAAGGTACAAAATTCTTATTAATTTTCTACTTTATATTTAGTCATCTGAAATTCCTCCTGATTTAGATTTGATTTCCCAGCTCCTAATAATATCGTTATTTTCCTAATTATGGTGTTTTAAAACTTCTTATTAACAGGTACAAAGTTGTAATTAGGTTTATTTCTCCCATAAATTTTCCCATTTAGTTGTAACTGGTAGTAACAAAATCTCTTAGGCTTTTATAGCTCTTAAATAAAAGTGAAAACTTTTTTAAAAAGTTATAAACAGAAGTATATGAGCCGCGTCACGACAAAACCAACTTAATGCGTTTGCGACCAGCATGGATCCAGACCAGCCTGCGCATCCGCGCAGTCTGATCAGGATCCAGTTTCAGTTTTTACTAAACCAAGGCATATAATATGCAACTGGTTATAACAACAAACAAACAGAAAAATAACTGTCAAAAATCACTAATATCACAATATAAGAATACAATTATGACTAGCTAAATAAACAAAAAAGGAGATCATATTGTTCATCCATGCTGTTCGCTTATCAACGCTATTACAAGTGGAGAAACTGACAGCGAACAGTCTGGATCCATGTTGGTCGAAAACCCACTATGTTGGTTTTGTCGTGACGCGGCTCATATTACTCTTTATAAGTAACAATAAGGAAATGGCATATTTTCAACTCAGCCCTTTTTTAATAGGGCGGACAACTCTTAGTCCATTTCTCGTAAGAGAAGGGGAATCTTGTGATGCGTGTATGTGGACACACGTTCACTTTCCTTACAACATGTCTTCAATGCATGTATGTGGTCGCATGATGGAAAATCTCTATTTAAACGACAACGGTTTCAATATTGTTTTGGTAAGGAACCGCTTGGTACTAAATCTTAATTTAATTTTTTTTAAAAAACTGTTTAACTAGAAAAATACAAAGTAATATACTTAAATGAACTGAGGAAGCTATTAAAGCCAAACCTATATTGTTTTTTAGAATTGGTTGGTTTTTAAGTTCTGAACAGGCTTTTCACTAAAAAGACTACTAGTAACTAGAAACTAGTTTAACAGGTTTTTATTTTATTAATTAAAATTAAGAATTAGTACCAGACTGTTTCGTTCCAAAACTAGAGATTTTCGACCATGCGACCACATACATGCATCGAGGACATGTTGCAAGGAAAGTGACCGTGCGACCACATACACGCATCACAGGATTCCCCTTCTCTTACGAGGAAGGGACAAAGAGTTGTCCGCCCTTTTATTAAAGGGCAGACTAAAAATATGCCATTTTCTCATTGTTATTAATAAGAAGGCTAATTTTCAGAGTCACCTCATAAATTGGTTTATATACAACAATAGTAATGCAAACCAAGCGGGTTTCAGTGTATGTCCTTTTAAGTCCGCTATGAAATTTTAAAAAGATCATATTTAATTTATTGGTGAATTTTGAGTGTTAAGATTTTTCTACTTTTCGTTCTTTGTATATAACAGAATTATAACAGTTTTATTCTAAATTTGCAAAACTTGAACGTATCAGAAACGTTTCACATGTATTTAATATTGCAGGTATATTTAACACTTTGTTTTCAAATACCTGGGGGCATTTTTGCCAAAGTGCGCATTTAATTTATTCTACTTGTAATAGAAAAGGTAATGTAATGGACTATGAGAACAAAGTAGATTAAACATGAGCAGACGACAATTCTGACACGGGTAATACTGCACGTATTTGCAAATCTTTCCATTGCTGCATTTGTAAAATGCACTTTTCAAGCTACCGTTTTTTGGAACTGTCTATCAATCTGCGTATATCAAGATAGTAATTTCTAGTCAGCCATAAGTACAGAGCCGGTTCAGTCTGCACGGATGTGCAACCTGGTATACTTGCATCTCTATAATGGTGAATTCAATTCGGTTCCAGCAGTGTTGTTAACAATAGTCATATTTACACATTTGCTTTTGATCTAAGCTCATTTGCATATGCCTTTAAACTTTCATTTGTTATATTTTCTCAAAATAGAAAAGTTATCAATGCGATATGTACATCGAAGAAACACTTTTAAAGATACACTGTTAACGTAATTTCAAATCTGACGGAGCCCATCAATTCAATGCCATTTCACATTACCTAAAAATGTGAAGAATAACCATACCTCTATGAACTCAACAGTCAGTGAAATAACATATTACATACATAGAAACAATTGGTCGTAGTGAATCTTGTTTTGTCATGTAACTGTATGTCAATAAAAAGTTTTTTCGATGCACCTTTCGCATTAACATTTTTCTGTCATCAGATTTTTTTTAACAAATACCAGTTTAAAGCCTCAATTGAGGATAGAGGTACAGTGCGAATAAAAAAATATAAAAAGAGTTAGCTTGATTTTGTGTCAGAATGTTAGCAAGTTTCAGAACATTTTCCGTCATCATAGTCAGCCTTGAAATTACGTTTCTGCCTACAACTGCATCATTTTCACTCCGGACGCCTATGACATTCTCAAGAAAAGACAGGGATTGACATTTTGCATACATACAGTGGTGACTGCATCAATGAAATGTGTAAAACTGTAATCTGATTGTGCTAAAATAATAATATTATAATACCGATAAAACCGGGGGCAAACATGTTTGTAGGTGAAAGGCCGACACAAAATATAAAAAATTCTGATCTGAGATTGAATTTTAATTGATTTTTTTCTTGTATAAATGATGTGTTAAATCCAACTCATCTTGTGTCGCGGCTCGAATCCACGACATCAGGGTTGCTAAATGAAAACCGTATACAAATGTGTTTTATCAACAAGGGGTACTTTGGTATAAATTGTGGTAGTCAATTTATAATACCGACTAAGATGACATCAATTTCAACCAATTATTTTGTACACCATAACATATCCTTCTCTTTCTTATAGATAGCTAGTCCCCAGATTACTTATATAACGTTCATATTGACATAATGTCAATTGAATTTAGAAATTGCGACATTTAATGGTAGTGTTGTGACAATTAACATTAAGGGAAATGGTGCGACATTTAACGTCATCATTACGGCAAATGTTTCGAGACATTTGGCGGTGTTTGCGACATTTAGCGGCAATAGTGTGACATTTAGCGGCAATTACGGCATTTAGCGTCATTGCGACATATAACGGCGCCACAAACATGTATCAGTCTGGTCAGTGAGTGACATCATTCACAGGAGATTTTTTTAGAGTCTGCTTCTCCCTGTAAAGACAGAGATTCTATATCGTCAACAACAACGTTTCCGTCTCTTTTTAATCCACCATTTAAAAAAAACAAAATATAAGTCAAAATTTTACATTTTTTAATGTTTTAACAGAAGCAACCCTGAAAACAACAATGACACAGAAAGTGTTAACAGGCTCCAGATGTATGCAGACAGACTCCGGTGATTTGGTGACAGAATTTGAGGTCACGTGTAATCTACACAATGGTTGTAACAACTATCACACAACAATATACAGAAGAACAAAATCAGGATCAGAAGAAAGCTTGATTCGTAAGTCAATCAATTTGATCAAGAACGCTTATTCTTGAAAATGCAACCTTTCTCCATTTATAAACAACCCAAATGAGCAATTATGGCAGTCGCCATATTGGTATTTTCTCAATAACGTCACAGTGGAAAAAACACCACGTCACGTGACTTAAATATACTTAAAATAGATATGACGAGAATTGCCGAAAGGAAGCGAAAGTTTCCAAAATGATTTTGTTTTGGATAATTTTTGCGTCAGTAAACTGTTTGGAATTTCGAAGATGCTTTAGTATTAACTGTCATTATATTCATTGCTAAGATCTTTTTTATCAAATACAACCTTGTATTCCTATTTTGAATAGATATTTTAACTTTATACCAGCGTTTAGATAAGACATACTCTTGAGTCTTGAAAAAAGATTTGTTTATATTGATCACATTAGTTGTTGGAAATTGAGTACCGTTCAAGTCGGTGCTAGGGGACGTGAGGGATGTTGTACTTTTTCATTATCCCTCATGTAAAGACTCAATCAAACCGAGTCTGCAATTTTAATTTAATTTTGTTGTTTTTAATGCTTCCGAGGGATCACCCTTTTTCCAGATTTTCATTTACACAATATTTACAATAGCTTTCTAATTAAAATCGGCTCCTCGAAAAAAGTTTTCATAATTTGTTAGTAAGTCAGACTGTTAACAATAGCTTCTGATGTTTTCAGAGTATTTAAAATGTGAAAGAAATTTTACCGACACCGACGGTCACATGATGAGCTGCTCAGCGTCTTTGCCGGACATCTTTGTAGAAAACTTCGTATACCTCGGCTGCAAAGTGGAGACGCGGCTGCCGAATAACAAACTGTTGAAGTTGAACGCACCCTTTACATTACCAGAGTGTGGCATTGACTCAAGTAAGGTCTTTTTTAAGAAAAATGTATTAAGATTGATATATGAACACTTTTTAGCTCACCTGACCACGAAGGGCCACCTTGGTCAAAAACTAGGTCACACTGCCCAAATTTAGAAAAAACTTTACACTCTAGATGTCACATTTTTGACTCAATTGTCATCAAACTTGGTCAGGATGCTTGCCTAAGAAATTGCTCGGATGAGTTCGATGTGTCAGGTGAGCGATCTAGGGCCATCTTGGCCCTCTTGTTTCAGTTAATGTAGATCTATTAGTATAATTTATAATACACATTTTATCAATAAGATTAAATTTATTGAACGTTTCTCACTTTGTCGAATATCCCCGCGTTTTACAGAAGTCTCTGGAAATGTGAATTATTCTGTGTCTATTTAAGTACAATAAAACAATTCAAGTTTATTGCATAATGCTATGTTCTCACCGCCGATCAGATCAACTCGATCGTCCTTAATCGATCACATTAATTCCCCGATGAAGCCCGACCAAGCTGGATTAAACGCAAATTCACGACTCCTACACGACATCAAGTCGACCCTACACGATGTTTTACGACTTCTTCTCGACGACAACCCGACCAAAATCCCGACTTCTTCACGATCACCCAAAACTATACGCGAGTCATACACGAACTCAACTAGACTAACTGGACCTCTGTTCGATCGTTGCCAGATTCCACCCGACCAGATCGTAATGATCGTAATCGAGTCGTGAATAATGCTCGAGTAGAAGTCGAGATGATCGTGTACAGATCGGGTAAGAGACGTAAACCCGACCAAACTAGATCGTTACACGATTTATTCTCGATCAACTAGATCTTCTACTCGATCACTATACGATCGCTACTCGTCCGCTTATCTACTCGATCGCTACTCGAATATTTTTGACATGTCAAAAAAATTCGGGTAGGAAGCCCGAGCCATGCCGACCAAGGTAAACCGCTCCGACCACCCCCGATCACGCATGCAGACCGAGCTAGACCGGTACCCGATCGCTTGATCGTGCTTGATCGAGGTGATCTGATCGGCGATGAGAACACAGCATTAGCAAACACACACACCACTGAGGATCGCCTAACATTTTGAGGACCAACCCCATTAATAAGTTAACAAACAGTTAATACTTTAATACTTTTATTACTTTTGGGGCTGGCAGGGAGGTCCCTATTTTATTAAGAGGTTTTTAGTCGTGTTGTATAACACTTTGGTACATAACAAGCGTATTCCTTAACGGAAATAACAACATTTTTCAGTGAAAATAACGGAAAGAAAATTTCCGGTAGTTAAAGTTATTAATTTCATTACACTGTATAGATATATTTAAATTTTCAGAATGTGACAACAAACAACCAAATTCTGAGCGATTCGACTGTTCAAAGACATCAAAAGATTTTCAAAATCTTCTTCAAGCGAAATGTGACGCAAAGAAATTGAAAAACTGTCTAAAACCCGGACGCACGGTTTTTAGCTTGAATAAAGATCGGTACGAGAATTTAACATGTTCCGAAGATAATGTAGTTCCCGTATGTAGACTATCGTGGTGCGCAAACTACAGAACAATAATAACAAAAAACGAGATTCCAGGCGAGGAAATTTGCAAAGAAAATTTTAATGAACCATACGTTTCGCCTACAACTACAGTGTCAACTTCAACATCGACTTCAAGTTCATCTACATCTTCAACTATAACTTCAACAACACCTGCAACTATAACTTCAACAACAACTTCAACTAAAACTTCAACAACAACTTCAACTAAAACTTCAACAACAACTTCAACTATATCTTCAATAACACCTTCAACTATAACTTCAACAACATCTTCTTCAACTACACCTTCACAAACATCTTCGACTTTAACTTCGTCTTCGAGTTCAAAAACTGTTACACGTCCAACTACATCAAAATAGAAATAAACTCACGTTCAGACTTAATGTATGTGAATGAAAATGTTCTGACCTTTTATTTCGGATATTATTTTCATGGACAGATAATCCAAGACAATTATCTAGAAAAGATTGCACAAATTATCTTCCTTGCCGCAATCTATTACTATTCTGTTTCTTGTGTTACGTTCAAGGGAGTCTGAGTGATGTAAAGGTGTGCTACAAGTAACCAGTGTGTAAGGAGTTGTAATGCTTTATGAAAATCATGATCAAATTTAAGACCATGAGTTAAGAGAGCAATACAATATTCATGGAACCATAGATAGTGTTCAGTTAGCAAGTCTCAGTGTCTTATTTTGTTGAATTCAGTGAGCAATTTTATTGAAGAGTTTATAACTTAAATAACAATTATCACGGTGATGAAAGCGTATGGTATGGTGGATGATTTGTGCAATGTCGTACTTTAGCTCCGCAGGGCGCAAGGCGAAAACACGAAAATAAGACAAAGTCATTACTTTGTCGTACTTTCGCTCCGCGGAGTGCAAGCCGAAAACACGAATAATATGACAATGTTACCACTTTGTTTTATTCACGTGTCTTCGCCTGGATCCCCGCGACATGACACAAGTCAGCCACCATAGTATGGTGTTCGTTACTTAACATACAGTACTTGATGTATAATTAATGATGTTTATCGCTCAAGTTATCATTGAGCAATGCTTATATATTTAGGTGTTTGGTTGCTTCAACGATATGAATTTCTGTTATTCTGTGAAGTAATAAATAATAAATAACAACAAAGAAAGTCTTCCATTGTTAATTAAGGTATGATAACCTTAAGACCCCACCAGAATAGATGATCCCCGAACCATAACACCCGTTACCGCTATCACTCATACAACTTTGAATTTTATTACCCTTTTTGTATCAGTTTTCACGTGTTAAACAAATAATGTTAAATATCGTTTTTATTTTTTTATTTGATACATATTTCACATCAACTCATAATGACAATCTAAGGATTTTAGAAATATCTGAAATTGTAATTTAAACGTAAATAGATAAATAAAGGATCGAATAAATAAATAAATAATGAAAAAAATGTTACACTACTTCTGTATCTCCCTTACGTGACTTCGCGATATCTATTACACGTGCATACGTTAAAGTCATCAGGTGGTCACGGGATTTTTTCCATATAATTCCGGCCAATAGACTTAAAAGAACTTTTATGTATCACTATTATCAAACTGTTAGTCACAAATCATTATCAATATTTGTATTTTAACTTAAATCTATTTATAGTACCGGAAGGGATACTAGTATTGTTTGCTTGACAAGGGCTTTATTCGTTGTTGATTTAAAAAAAAAATATTTCTGTAAAGTTTTGCATATTGTAACCCCTTCTAGCAAGGACACAAGTGTCAGTAATTGTCTGACAAAAAAAACATTACAAATGTTTTACTTTACAGCTATAGTATCTTTTAAAGTGTTAATATTTAATAGCTTAATCCGTTTGTTCACACATTTATTGTGATCACGTGTATAGGAGTTTCAAAAATAGTTATAAATCAGAGCGGGCGCTGTGGTCCAGTGGTAACACTGTTTGACTACGAATCAAGGGGTTGCGAGTTCGATCCCCCGCTACTCCAATAAAATTACTAACAATCTTTAGGATGTAAATTTAAAAAGAGCTTTTGCCCGCGATTTACAGATTAAAAGCACAAATAAAACTAATTTCTGTATGGTTACACTATCACAACTCATAAAATGTTAATCATGTACGTTACTACATCAATACATAACTCACTAATCACCAATTACACAATGAACATTACTAGTACTAACTGACTACACAAATGACATAGTGGACATAACTGACTACACCAATGACATAGTGAACATGATTGACTAGAACAGTGACATAACTTACTACACCAATATCATAGTGGACACAACTGACTACACTAATGACATGGTGAACATAACTGACTACACCAGTGACATAGTGGACATGCCTGCCTACAACAGTGACATAGTGCACATAACTGACTATTACAGACTGATCACCAATGACAAAGTGGACATTACTGACTGATCACCAATGACATAGTGGACATAACTGACTGATCACCAATGGCATAGTGGACATAACTGACAGATCACCAATGACATAGTGGACATAACTGACTGATCACCAATGACATAGTGGACATTACTGACTGTTCACCTATGACATAGTTGACATTACTGACTGACTGATCACCAATGACATAGTGGACATTACTGACTGTTCACCAATGACATAGTTGACATTACTGACATTACTGACTGATCACCAATGACATAGTGGACATAACTGACTGATCACCTATGACATAGTGGACATAACTGACTGATCACCTATGACATAGTGGACATTACTGACTGATCACCTATGACATAGTGGACATAACTGACTGATCACCAATGACATAGTGGACATTCCTGACTGATCACCAATGACATAGTGGACATTACTGACTGATCACCAATGACATAGTTGACATAACTGACTGTTCATCAATGACATAGTTGACATAACTGACTGTTCACCTATGACATAGTTGACATTACTGACTGATCACCTATGACATAGTTGACATAACTGACTGATCACCTATGACATAGTTGACATAACTGACTGATCACCAATGACATAGTTGACATTACTGACTGATCACCAATGACAAAGTGGACATAACTGACTGATCACCAATGACATAGTTGACATTGCTGACTGTTCACCTATGACATAGTTGACATAACTGACTGATCACCTATGACATAGTTGACATTGCTGACTGATCACCTATGACATAGTTGACATTACTGACTGATCACCAATGACAAAGTGGACATAACTGACTGATCACCAATGACATAGTTGACATTGCTGACTGATCACCAATGACAAAGTGGACATAACTGACTGATCACCTATGACATACTGGACATTACTGACTGATCACCAATGACATAGTTGACATTACTGACTGATCACCAATGACATAGTGGACATAACTGACTTATCACCAATGACATAGTGAACATTACTGACTGATCACCAATGACATAGTGGACATTACTGACTGATCACCTATGACATAGTGGACATAACTGACTTATCACCAATGACATAGTGGACATAACTGACTGATCACCAATGACATAGTGAACATTACTGACTGATCACCTATGACATAGTGGACATAACTGACTGTTCATCAATGACATGATGGACATAACTGACTGATCACCAATGACATGGTGGACATTACTGACTGATCACCAATGACATAGTTGACATTACTGACTGATCACCAATGACATAGTTGACATAACTGACTGATCACCAATGACATAGTGGATATAACTGACTGTTCACCAATGACATAGTGGACATTACTGACTGATCACCAATGACATAGTGGATATAACTGACTGTTCACCAATGACATAGTGGACATTACTGACTGATCACCAATGACAAAGTGGACATTACTGACTGATCACCAATGACATAGTGGACATAACTGACTGATCACCTATGACATAGTGGACATAAATGACTGATCACCAATGACAAAGTGGACATAACTGACTGATCACCAATGACATAGTGGACATAACTGACTGATCACCTATGACATAGTGGACATAACTGACTGATCACCAATGACATAGTGGACATAACTGACTGATCACCAATGACAAAGTGGACATAACTGACTGATCACCTATGACATAGTGTACATTACTGACTGATCACCAATGACATAGCGGACATAACTGACTGATCACCAATGACATAGTGGACATAACTGGACTGATCACCAATGACAAAGTGGACATAACTGACTGATCACCTATGACATAGTGTACATTACTGGCTGATCACCAATGACATAGTGGACATAACTGACTGATCACCAATGACATAGTGGACATAACTGACTGATCACCAATGACAAAGTGGACATAACTGACTACACCAATGACATAGTGACACAATGACATAGTGAACTACACCAATGACATAGTGGACATAACTGACTACACCAATGACATAGTGGACATAATTGACTAGAACAATGACATAGTGGACATAACTGACTACACCAATGACATAGTGGACATAACTGACTGATCACCAATGACATAGTGAACATAAATGACTGATCACCAATGACAAAGTGGACATAACTGACTGATCACCAATGACAAAGTGGACATAACTGACTGATCACCTATGACATAGTGGACATAACTGACTGATCACCAATGACATGGTGGGCATAACTGACTGTTCATCAATGACATAGTGGACATTACTGACTGATCACCAATGACATAGTGGACATTACTGACTGATCACCAATGACATAGTGGACATTACTGACTGATCACCAATGACATAGTGGACATTACTGACTGATCACCAATGACATAGTTGACATAACTGACTGTTCATCAATGACATAGTTGACATAACTGACTGTTCATCAATGACATGGTGGACATAACTGACTGATCATAGTGGACATTACTGACTGTTCACCTATGACATAGATGACATTACTGACTGACTGTTCACCAATGACATAGTGGACATTACTGACTGTTCACCAATGACATAGTGGACATTGCTTACTACACCAGTGACGTAGTGGACATTACTGACAAATTACCAAATACATAGCGGGGACATAACTTACTACACAAATGTCACAATTACTTATGATTTAAGATTTTTTATTGTAAGAAACTGAATTTTAAATGTTCAAATAATATGAAAACAAAATATGTAAGGCAAAAATGGCGTAATTGAACCTCAGTATTGTAATATTTATTTCTCTCATAAATTGTCAATCATTTATTAATATTTTGAATGAAAAGGCACGACTTGATACACAAAACATCCATAATTCGTACATAAATTTTCCATACAACTCAAGTGCTTTTCAAGTGCTGACCTATGCATAATGCTTTAAATTAACGAGAAATTTCCGTAGACTATTATGGAGGGCGTTCGTTGCCAAAATTCCAGACATGTAAAGTGTTCCTTTTTAAAATGGCTTTTGAAAATGCGAACTTGTATGCCTACCATTTTTTATTGTACCGTGCATAGCACATAATATGCCTCTTAATTCAATCTTTTAATTGAAGGTTCCCGCCTTTATATAACAAGTTTACATATAGATAGTAACAACTGACATAACATCTAAAACGACAACAAATTTACAAGTTCGTATCTTCCATTGCATGCAATACATATGCATGTTTGCACACTTATAGATCTGAAATATTCAAATGAAATGTAAATCTTAAATACAGAAAATAGAGTTTAAGAAAACGTGTTACCAGTTGTAGAACTACAAGAGTACGATAACACAGTAACATGTTTAAAATGACAAAAGTAGATTCACAAAGTTAAACGATTTCAAGTCAAGCATAACGCCCCGCCCCTCTCGGAGTATTTACGAACTTCTATTGCGGACGGGCATAAAACGACGCCTCTCCCATATTTCTAAATAAAACTGAAGGACAACATACCGCATTTTTCTGAACATATATTTGTAACATTTGTTACAAAAGTTTTGTCACTAGCAACATCACTTGAAAATTGCTGATTTTACCATTTATGATGAAGATAACTTATGCATTAACTTATTATTTAACATCGTGTTTTCCTGAGAAACATCGGCGATTTGGAAATTTTTAGGGGAAACAATGACCAACTTCAAGGAGTAAATTTTTATTGATA